ACAAGAAATACCGACACGCTTTGGCGGTATTTCAACTCAGGAATACCTTCTAGTAATTAAAGAGAATATCTGGCATTCGCACATTAACTCCGTCGCTTCCTGAGTCAGCACATACCAGACACGTCGTTGCTTCGGCCATGGACATTAATATGCGAAAAATGTTTATACGTTGATGAGGACGTTAATTAAGCCATTGACGCTCAGGTAGCCGAAGTGTCAGCGGAACTACTAAACTGAAGCGAACTGAACTGAAGTGAATGTGAATGTGAATGTGAACTTAGGCCAACTTAATTAAGTCACAGCCTAACACACATGCATCCATACATGTGCAACTATTTCCTGTATCTGAAAACTGGCATCTAACGTTTCAATCTTTCGATTGGCATGTTAAACTCGCTCTCCAGCCTCTGTGCTTTGCTCCCCATCGAAAATTGCAGTTGATGCTCTTGTGAATGTTGTGGTTGTTATGTTTCTTGTTATTGACTGCAGAAAATTAACATGAAACTAACATAAAGCATTCAGTATTTTAACATTTTACTTTGCCGTAGAAACAGAAAACTTTTTGACTATTAAATTGGCAGTTCCTTTGAATTACAAATTTTGGTTGTGGTCTTCACCAGCGCCAAAACCGAAAAGACATAAACTGAAAATAAAAAATGTGGTGAAAAATATTAATGTTAATCGAAGCGCTTCGTGACATAAAAGAAAATATTTTGGTGTATAAAAAATTTTGCAGAATATGAAAATGTTAGGCGAAAAAAACGGATTTCACTTTATCGAAATTGCATCACAGACGCTGGCAAACGCAGAGGAGTGTCATCTCGACTGCAGTCTGCTCTGTCAGTTGTTGTACTCCATGTGCCAACATATAGTAGTAAAATGTCGTACATTAGCAGCAGTGGGACGCAAAGTTATGCCGTCGCAGTGATGCATCTTCTGTCTGTTATTGTTGTTTTTGCAATTTACGTTGTTGTGACTTATGCAAACTGAACTTTTTACCTTTTGGCTATGAAGTCAATAACGACAACTGCAACAACACTAAAGAGAAGATTTCAAAAAAAAAATTTCAGGTAACAAATAACAAAATGCAATGCAGCACGTAAATATGCCGTAACAACAACAACAACAACATCAACAACAGCAACGGCAATATAAACAAAAGACACACTTAACAGTGCAAAAACAAAAACTGCATTACCAGCAACTTCGAATACTTGCAGCAACATCTTGAGCGGTGTTGGGAGCCAAATCATTTGCAAGTGTGATCAGCGCCAAATACCAAGGCACATAAAAAATAAAAAGCGCCATAGCATGGATGGAGCAGAAGCTGAAGTTGAAAAACGCTTCAAGATGCACATCATAAATTGTATGCAATTATCATGCGATGCTAGTGACACTGTCAGGCAATATTGCATAAGTTAAACACACACAAATGCCAGCGAAATGATGTCAAGGGGGGAATAAACAATATAAGCAGCGGGACAATATTTATTCTCTTAAAAACTCGTTAAAGTGGGCTCACAATGCTATATTTGCAATAATGAATATTTTTTTAATTTTTAATTCGTTTAAAATAATGGGGTCTAAATAATCAAAAACATAGATAAAGGTGAATTAAAAGAGAAGTAAGTGAAAGAGATGGCAATATAGAAAAAAAATGGATTAAAAGTCAATAAAAATTAAGTAAGATTGATGGTAATAATCACGGTTGCCACTTGAAAAATTTTTCCTGTACCAAAATTGGTTTAAAAAGGTACCATTTCTGTAAAAAAAGGTCCAAAATTTTTTTGGACCTTTTGTTTTTTCGTTCTGTGTTTTTTATAGTGTTATAAATGAACAAAATATAAAATAGTGCAAAGTTGCATTTATAAAAAAAATTAATTGGAAATATCCACCATAAAGTTGGGTCGTCAAAAATGTGCCATTTTTTGAACATGAGTACCAAACGAAAAAAAAAGTACCAATCTTGGTACTAAAGTACCATAAGTGGCAACCGTGGTAATAATAAACATGAAGAAAATTAGAAACCAAGAGAGGAACAGAAAGAGATAGAAAGAGAGAGAGAATTAGAAAAACAGAGTGGTTTGAGAACAGAAAAAATATAAGAAATAACAAAAAATCCGAAAAACAAAAAATAGCGTGAAACAATATGAAATAACAGAAGAAAAAAAATAAAAGTTTGGCTATATATGGTGGATCCATCTAACAACACTGCTACTTTGACAAGAAATGTTAGAATGACTTATAATACGTATTTGAAATGTAAGACTAACATTTCAAATACGTATCGTCATAAGTCATTCTAACGTTTCTTGTCAAAGTAACAGTGTTGTTAGATGGATCCACCATATATAGCCAAGGACCATTTTATGTAAACTGTCATTGGCTCGTTAAAATAGCCTTTCTCGGGCTATGATGATAATGCATATTATGCAGAATGTAACAGAATAACACTGCTTTGCCTAAGTGATGAGCCACAGAAGCAATTTTTGAAAACATTGTTCCCCGGTCGCTTGACATGGAAATATGACTTTTCTCTCTGGGGCCACTTAAATTCAAAGGTTTGTATAAAAAAAATAATGACACTACATGGTCTTACGACCAAAATTGGCCAAGAAATAGCGTCGAAAGCAGTCGAAACATTCGTAAATACCATCGAAACTGGCAAGAAAACGAGCCCATTACGCCATTTAAGATAAGGGTGGCTATATGCGCGATTTAGTCTTCAGAAAGTCTGTTTTTATTTTGTTAAATCTACATAATATCTACATAATATACCGAAGACTTTCTATTGAGGTTGTTGTATTGAAATTCATTTAGTTACAACAATGCTTATATAGACTGGTTAAAGGATTTGGAATGCTATAATTCTGATAGGTTCCGTTCTTATTTATTTATTTTTTTCTTATTGTTACTTAATAAAAGAGGAAACTTAGGGTTTCTCAGGCCACAAAATGGTTTTGGTCCTACAAGCAAGAATCTTGTTTCTTTCCTTGATAGTTTATTTTCTAATTTCCGTCTTCTCATGTCGCAGAATGAGACATGAGACTCATAAATATTTTTAACAGTTTAAATCTTAAAAATTATACAACAACCGATATTTATATTCTTTATTTACAACATTATTTTATTCTTAGTTTCTTTTTTAATTTTCTATGTAACTTTTTTCTTCTTTGAACTGAAAAATTGATAAAATTGTCGATTTTTATTTTTTAAACAGAATATCTATATTTAGTAGGCTTTGCTTGTTTGTAAGATTACAGCGAAATGCAGAAAATGTTTTCTTTATTTCCTAATTGCTTTGGAAAAACGTTGCCTATTAGTAATAGTCAAAATCCAGGTTAACCATGCCAAAAATGCATCGTACAAAAAATGCATCATAGTTGGAATTCATCTTCATCTCCATGTCGTGTACGCTGCACTTGGCACTCACTTCATCATGCCAGTTGACATTGTGTACGTGTTTTACCAGCTTAATCACGTACGCCAATAACTTCATTCCAAGTCGTTGTCTCATTAATCTGTGCCACTGCAATTTAATCGCACTGGCCCGTTCGGCCTGGTCGGCCTGTCGGCCTGTTTGTTGCCTCCGAGTGCTGTACTGTAGGAGCAATATAGGCAAACCCAAATGACAATGAAATGTGTCTCGAATGCTGACGGGTGACAGGCGAACACAAGTGCAATTCCTGTTGCTGCGGTTGGACTTATGACTTTCACAGGTTATCGGCTTAGCGAAGCAAATAAAGTTAATTGCAGCAAAACTGCTGAGTGCAAAAAAAGCAACAAAATTAATTGTCACAAATTAAAGTGGCTCAATGGAAGAACAGCGTAGATGGAGCTAAATTTGGCCACACATTGCGTACGGGATTTGCTACGCATTATTAATAGGAAGACATGTAATTTTTTTGCCATTTGGTTTATTGCATTTTAAAAATATTTTCGGAGTAATATGAGGATATCGGGGGAAATTGCATCTATTGTGGCACACCTATTGCAACCGTTAATTAAAAATAAATTTAATAATAACACCCAAAGCCAAATCTTGTGTAGCTCGTTAATTAAATGTCGAAAAATGTAATGAAGCGAAACGTGCACAGATTATGCCATTGGATAAGACATTGCGTGTCTTGCAGCAGATGCAGCAGATGCAGCAGATGCAGCGCCGCAGTGCGTACGCGTGTTTTTCATGATTCTGCAACTCTGGAATGTGCTGTGAAAACTATGGCAATAGCCCCATCTCCATTCCGTTCGAATCGAAATTTCTAGTCAAGCTGTTGTTGGAGTTGGTATTGGTGTTGGTGGCATTACTTCGTGCTTACAATTTTCTGGAACTCATCGCCACTGACACATGAATGCGTGCGTGATATGCTTTATTTATTGTCCTTCTTACATTCACACTTTGGCGTTGCTTGCAATACCAAAGCAAACACCATACTTGCCTTCCCACAACCACATCGAACCGCACAGAATTTGCTTTATCTCATGTTGATCTTTGTAATGAATCATTTGAAGTACGGCAAATAAGTTTTCCACATGAATCAGCAAATTCATGTTCCATTGACTCTTCTAGTAGAATTTTTTTTTCTACAAACGGAATAACAAAAGCTGTCTGCGGCATTCACTCAGTGGATGCACCATGAACAGAAGGTGGAATTACAATGAGTTGCAAAATCATTGTTGGATGTAAAGTTGGTTATTTCAAAGGGTTAACTCATTATTGTTTCTGTGCCAAAACCAGTAAACACAATTAAAAGTGATTAGATTAAGGCTGATATATTGAAATGGTTGCGTTTGAAGTGAAAATAAATTTAGACTCAAATTGAATAAATAAACTTTAGCTAACCAGACAGCCTTTTAAGATCAATAATATGTTAGTAAGTTTAAAAGATATGATAACGCAAATTAGAACACAAGTTAGTTATTAGGAACAAAGTCAACATTTCTTAATCTATCAAATTTATAGTCTATTAAATTTATATATATTAAAATGATATGACTACTTTTATTATTTTCCATAGTTTGGTCCTTAAACCTTTGATACATATTAAAATTTTCAGTACTTTGATCTTTTTTGAATACAAAAAATGCCTATCGGAAGAGCAGTTATTACTTATCTGGACGAACTCTTCAGTGAACACCACATTTGGATTGCACTTCAAAGTTTCTTAGTATTGGTTACGTTGGGCTTCTTTCACTATCAATTAGAGTCTAACCAATGTGATTTGATGTGCTGGATAAAAACCATAGAGGAGAACATAGATAATATTTTCTATATGTTATCTCTGCTTAATATGCTTTTAGTAGTTGGCGTTCCTTATTATATAATTGAACTTGTGACGCGAGCTAACTGCAAACTTATCCTATCAGAGGTAAAAGTTCTACAGAAGCGGTATGCAACTTACATCTTCATACAGCTGATGGCACGGATCGATGAAATCTATGACAAACTTCCACAGATTGCAACAAACGAACAACAAAGCGATGCAGATTTAATATTAAATGAGCAAGTCATTGAGGCACGAGAGAAGCTAATTGACGTCATAAACGATTTCAAACAGAAAGCCATCAAATTATATTCCATTTCTGAAGAAGAAGCGAGCACTCCATTTGAAGACTTGTATTTCATCAATGAAAACGATAGTAAATTAGCGCCGTACTATGAGATGAAAATTTCTGTTGATCTAGATTTTATTAGTTTTCTAATGCATCGAGATTTTGTTTATATAAATTAAATCAAGAATAAAGTTAGTTTTCACAAAAAGTTGTCATAAAATAATAGTAATTTTTTATTTGTTCAATTGGAAATTGATTTTTATAATAACTATCGCATCAATCTGTACTTAAACCCCTACAGATCGTTCTACATGAAAACGTTTTCATAATTGTTATGTTTACACATAATTGTAAATTATAAAGCCTGTTGTTCTAAACTTTAAAGCATCCTGAGGAAAACATTGATTCTATCTCTAGAACTCAACAGCTTTCAAGAAAGAAAAAAACAGTTTCTCATATATTAAATATCCTAAATGAAGGTAATGTCTCCCTAAAGCAGTAAATAGAACCTCCCTTTTCTTAATTTAATCTGTACCAACTGAAATCATTAAGAAAGAATTAACATAACCTTATATGTTTGCATGATATATCTAATACGACAAAAGTAATATTATTTTTGTCCGGATAAAGTCTGAGCACGATGATTCAAATGTTAGTATTATCACCAACTCCATACACATTAAAATTGGATTCATTTTTAACAAAAACGTGAACTTTTTATTTCGGTTTAGATTCATGACCTCATTTGTAAATGCAGAATATTCTAGATTAAAAATATTACAAAAATCAAAACAACTGAGTTAAAATCCGTTTGGCTTTCTTTTCTCAAAAATAAAAATTTGACTATAGGTACGGCAAGAAGTGTAGGTCCACCTCGATATATTTTTCTCATATTCTTACAATTCGTTTGGGAGGTCAAAATTTCATCCATTGAAAAATGCACGTATTTTTTATTTACAAAACAAATGCAATCCACATGTCAACATGGGTTTGCACAGGATTGAACACACCAATTCTACATGGATGACGTTGATTATGCAATTGAACATGTAAGTCAGCAAAATAAAACTGAATTGGATACTTTGGAACTACACGTGCAGTCACGTGTGCATTGAAATTAACTCCGTGGGACGAAATAGCCATCATAAATGCAAAGCACAGGCGGTGCAGGACAACGTCACGATTGATTTTTCCATTGATTTTTCATCCATTATGATATTGTTATACAAGTGCAACGCGAATACACCGAAGTTTCTACAAAAACTGATTATTAAATTTGAAGTTAACTAAGGGGTGGATATTTTTGCGACTCTTGACTACAGGATTACAGATAACCATGTTTAATTATTACAATTCAGTTGTGTTGTTTACATTTGCAAAAATTGTTCGAAACCATACACAATCAATATTTTCTATATTTTGAAAAATCATATCACGGCACAACACAACCCTTTCAATTATTCTCCAGTAACAGAGTCAGAAATGCATTGAAAAATGTATAGCATTCAGTATTGCATAGTTTTTAAAGCATAGTTTTTAACGTAGCTCTAGTAGAATTTTAAAAAGCAGTCAGAATTTATAAATATTAAACTGATAACTATGTAGGTTGGTCATGATTTGCGCAACAAATCAACTAAAGATAGCCAAATTGTTACATAAATCAATCCATCCATATCTTTAATATGATATGCTTTCAGATCTGGTACTTGGGTGTTCAACAAATAAATACCTAACCTCTTAGCTGAAATTGAGGGAAAAGTACTATGAGATATTGTGCGCTTAATACATGAGAAACGGGTAACTTTAGAGACACCACATCTACGAACTAAACGAGATCCATCCAGGAGCAGATATATTGACATAAACAAAACTCGCTGAACATAGTTAGATGAGGTACTCAGTATATATGAGCAAAGAAAATCCGATTCGAAAAACATTTTATTGGCAGATTTTATACGCATCCGATTGATAGACCCTGCCTGCACTAAGGTGATAGTAGATAGGGATACAAAAGGTAGGGACAAAGACACAATTTAACGCGAATACCTGCGTAAAGGCTCAACACCACAGTGTTCTTACAAACGCATTGGTATATTGTGTCGATAAATGTCCCGTTGGAACTCCAAGAAATTCTGCCGGTACCAGTTGGAGGGATAGTGCAAACCAGAACTTTAAGTTCAAGCACTGCCCAACTGAATCGATGGAAAAATTTATTGAAAGGCGCTTTCAATAAATTCCTAGCCGTTTTGGTGTACTGAATATTCACTTGATATTACCAAAAACTAATTACCTATTCTTCTGAACTGTCTTTCTTATTCTAATAAAACTTAACACTCGTATGCTAAAGTTTAAGAATATGTATTTATCATCAACTTCGTTGATTTAATTTATACTTAAGTCGGTTTTGATACTTAAGTGGCGATGGTGAAATTGGCTCTAAGAGTCATATATAAATAAACATTGTATATTCTCACCTAACGGTACTTGCTCAATTCTACCGATTCCCATTTGTTTCCGGTATTTTAGAATATGTGAATATTCTCAAATTGAACAGTTATTTTTTAATATTTGGTTTGCCATTTGCTGGTTAAAAATTAAATAAATTTTGTTGAGCAAAATATTTCTGTTTAATTTATTTCGGTTTGGTTTATTTGCATATGTCGGGTAACACATGCAATGTTAAACTGGAAATATTAATTAATAACCTAAAATGCTGTAACCAAATTAAATACCAAAAATAAATTTATTTTCAAGATGTGTGTAAATATTTTACCAAATGTACAAATAAATTTGATATATGCAATTCTATTTTATTTGAACATTTTATAATTTCTAATGCAGAAAATATTGAAATTTTCAACAAAAATATTTACGAGGTAAACTTACCAAGTTCAGCTTCTCCTCGAATTTATCAAAATTGTCGAATAGGAAGAATGATCTGAATTTACTTGGTTCTCGTTTTTACTATTTTCTAAAGAATTCCATAAACATTTTATGTTTAATCTGTTTAGATATTTCAATGAATAATTTATATGCCAAAATCCTCCCACTCCACTTATATGGGTGAATTCAGGCATTCACCATACTTATTGCTTATTGCTCATTGCATAAAGATATTTGTGTTAACCTGAATTTATTGATATGTCAATACCGCAATTGGCAAACATGCCAAGTATGCATCTCCGAAACGAAAACACTCGTAGATATCTGTGAGCGCCTCTGAGGTGCAATAAATTTGCATCTCAAGCAAACATTTGCCGATGTCTGCAACTTAAGATTAATGCTGTGCGAAGACAATTTCACTGGCAAATAAATTAAGCAATAATCAAATTATTTATTGCTAACCAATTCATGGCAAAGAATGGCAAATATTCCGACATGTATGCAAACATTTCTGTTTGTATGGCACAACATGCGCATACCAACTTCATTCCTTCACACATTTTTCACTTTAATTCCCTTTTTCTACTGAGCGGTTTTCAGTTTATAGTTCAGCATTTTAAATTCTTTGGTTTCTTGGTTTTTTGGTTCCTTGGATCCTTGGCAGTGGCGTGCTGTGTACTTGTATGCTTCCTATCATAAAATTCATGGTCACTTAACGCCCATTTTCATATCATATCAGGCAATAAACGATTTAATTATACGTTCAACAATCGATAAACGAAAAATTTACAAACAACACGCATCCCATGAAATTTAATTTCAGCCACGAAACGGATTTCACTTCCTTGCCCATGAAAACCAAGCCGTCGATTTGAGCCCTCAAAAGAATTGGCCGACAGCAGGAAAATCGAAGCAACCGATGCGTTCAATCCAAGCCAAACCAAGCCAAGTCAAGTCAAGCCAAGCCAAAAACAAAGGAAACAACTAAAAATAATTCAATATGTAATTTACTTGTAAGCTGAAAACTGTTGTAAAAATGTCTGTAGGCTATGAAATTGTTATCAACGATAAATTGTTTTAAAAACAAAAATGAATATAAAAACAAAAACAAAACTGAAAACGAAAAAATTACAATAATTTTGCATTGCAGCACAAAGGCCAAGTACACGGAATAGTGGCAGCTGAAAAGTATCTGCACTTGCAGAAACAATTTCCAGTACCGAAGACGGTGCATGAGCCTGGCTGCGTTGTAGTGATGTGTTAAGATAGTTAATTATTTTAATAAAGCTCTAAAAACAACAATAACAACACCAGTAATTACCATGCAACTTCTCGCACAAATAACTCCTTTTAAGCCAGTCACTTCGCCATTATTACTCAATAAATTGAATTCTTAATTTTTAGCACGAAACTGTTTTAAAGCCCCTCTTTACTTTTCTTCAAGATAAATATTTGAATAAAAAGTCCTATTTGTCTTGAACCGCACATATAACTCTCTTTCATGCTTGAATCCATTTAAGAATTCCAATTAAATATTGAGATATGGAATATAAATAAAAATTACTAAGACACAATACAAATGCATATAATTCAAAATAAATAATAAACTATTGACTTTAACTTGTTAAGCCCGCATACGTCTGATCCTTATACTGCGTATTTATCACCCTTTATTTTTTTGTTCTCTACACATTTGTTCTTTATTCGTTCTCTATTTCAATATATATTTGCATAATGCTATTGGATTGCCTGGATTTTACAACTGTTCCGAGATATATTTCTTAAACACTCTACCTGAATAACTCATGCCTTTCCTTTGGCTACCTTTAGCAGCCGGAAACTGTTCTTGACTAAAATTGACTAAATCGTACACTTTAGAAGAGCTTAATAGTATAAATATATTCCTACTAAACCTTTCTTAATAACTACAGACTCGCCTTGCAATAATTACAAGTGTTGTCATATTTCCTCAGATAAAACTGGCTTCCAAATTTTTAAATATTGTTACTTACTATGTAATACAATTTCCGTTATTAATAAAAAACTATTTCATTAATAGTTACGCCGATTAATTACATATTGTATAGCGTCTTCTTCGAATAACTACTGTCGCAGATGTAAGTACAAGTGGTAAAAATAGATACATTCTTCATGTAGAAACTCGAATCAAATCACAATTACAGCAGACGCGAATTATTGATCTGAGCTACCTGGATCGATGATAGGGCTGCTATCTAAATGCAAAATTATTCATCTAAATGCCAATGACACATGTAGTTGGTAATGACATTTCATTCAGACATCAGATACAACAGAGTCCTGCTGAGTACTCGGTTGCAA